TTCAGATCCTAGTTCTAACCAATGTGAAACTAGTCCTAGACAAATTAGACTACTAGAAAGTCTAGAGGAATCTAGGAGAAGTAAGAGAACAAGAATATAAAAGGTTAATGAAGACTTTTATGCATTACTTGTAGAAGATTCTTCAATTATATTTGAGGATGTAATGAAATCAGTAGATACTCCACTTTGGAAGGAAGATATAAATAATGAGATTCAATCTATAATTCAAAACCATACTTGGGAACTCACTGATCTTCCTCCAGGATGCAAAACTATAGGATGTAAATGGGTATTCAAAAAGAAACTCAGACCTGATGGAACAATAGATAAATATAAAGCCATATTAGTAGCTAAAGGATATACCTAAAAATTTGGTATTGATTATTTTGATGTGTATTCTCCAGTAGCTAGGATTACTACCATTAGAGTCCTTATAGCTCTAGCATCCATTCATAAATTAATAATACATCAAATGAATGTTAAAACTATATTCTTAAATAGATATTTAGATGGGGAAATTTATATGGATCAACCCGAGGGATTTGTTGCTTCTGGACAAGAGAAGAAAGTATGCAAGCTTATTAGATCATTATATGGCCTCAAACAAGCTCCAAAACAATGGCACATGAAATTTAATGAGATCATACTATCTTATGGATTTGAAATTAATCAAACAGATGAGTGTGTATATCATAAAACAGACAATAATAACAAAATTGTGATTTTATGCTTATATGTTGATGACATTCTTATTTTTGGTTCTGACATACAAACCATAAATAAAATCAAACACTTCTTATCACAAAATTCGACATGAAAGATTTAGGTCAAGCTAACCTAATTCTTAACACTAAAATCTTGAAGAATAAGAATGGATATGTGCTATCACAATCACACTACATAGAGAAAATCCTTAAGAATTTTTATGATCCAAACTGTCAACATGTTTCTACTCCATATGATCCTAATGTACATCTAAAGAAAAATACAGGTTATCCTCAATTACAAAGAGAATATGCACAAATAATTGGATCATTAGGATTTCTGACAAACTAGACCAGACCTAACATTGCTTATGCAGTAAATAGACTTAGTAGATATACATCAAATCCTGATAAGAGCCATTAGGATGCTCTAGAAAGAATTTTGAGGTATCTAAAAGGAACTATGAACTATGGTTTACATTATAAAGGTTATCCATCTGTATTAGAAGGATACTCAGATGCAAACTGAATTAGTGACTCAGTAGATGTAAAATCTACCACTGGATTTGTGTTCCTTTTAGGAGGAGGAGCTATCTCATGGAAATCTACTAAACAAACTGTAATGGCTAGAAGCACAATGGAATCAGAAATGACAGCTCTTGATACTACTAGTATAGAAGCTGAATGGTTGAAAGATTTACTAACTAAAATTCCATTAATGTAAAAACCATTACCAGTTATTTCTATTCACTGTGATTGCAGGTCAGCGATTGACAAATATCACCAAGAGAATACAAATGTGAAAATGAATTGACACTTGAAAGTGCGACATAAATCCTTGAGATATAAGATGAAAAATCATGTAATAGCCTTAGACTTTGTAAGATCAGAGAAAAATCTTGCAGATCACTTAACTAAAGGCTTATCTAGGACAACGGTTCTAGAATCATCGAGGGGGATGTGGTTAAGCCCATAAAAAAAATCACTACAGTTGCAACCCAACCTCGCAGAGGTTCAATGGGTAGAAACAAACTAGACGAGTGATTGATTGGGAGGAGCACTGAATTCATTTGCTCTCATCCCTAGGATGATCAGTGCTCATATAAAGCAAGTGAAAGGTTGAGTTTAACTCTTAATGAATCCAAGACCCATGAGGCAGGATGCTTACTTGCTCGCATCCTTATTAGGATTCACCTATATGTATGTAGTTGTGAGGCCGCGACTATGGGATCAGGGTTACTCCCTAGTAACACACATGAAAGATACCTGTGAAAGGTCAATAATAGCGTAACCCGCTTAGAATTCTTCAAAACTGTACTATGTGTGCTTTCTATAGAAATCCGATAAATGGGACTGGTTCAAGGCATAGTCCACCAAGCTCTCACGGATCTATACAACTATCACTAAGCGAAGGTTCAAACTGAAAGGTACCTCCACCTATTACATAGTATAAGGGAACCAACAATCTTGTTTTCAAAGTTCTTCTTTTACTCTTACTTCTAAGTTATTCTAAGTTTTAAGTTATGTGGGGGATTGTTGGAGTTATAACTTAAAACTTGATTTTGGAGTGGGAAAGTTTAGTCCCACATTGGATAGGAAATGGGAATGAGAGTTGTTTATAAGCCTTCACTTTCTCTCATATGCCTAGAAGAAAATATGGGTTATGCTCCACACCACACACGTGCGTGCCGAACCGAACGGGGCCAGGCTCGGGTCGGGAGACGCGCGCCCATGACCTGTGGACACGAATGTAGCTCCGGATTGAGGGGCTCTTATCCTGCTACATTTTAGATTTTTATTTTTACAAATTAGAACAATTAAAACATGTTAAACATTTAGCTGCGATATTGGTGGATCTAAATGGGCGCGAGATTGGTTGATTTAAACGGACGCGATAATTGTGGATCTAAACGGGTGATAATTGTAGATCTAAACGGCGGTTTTCAACCTATAAAATGACCTATAGCTGCGAGGGTTTGATACACAGTGAAAAATACAACAATTCCTTTCTCTTCTTATCTTTTCAAATTATTTTCTTGTTGTTACACTTCTGCTGGTTCCCTGAAACTTGTGAAGAGTTCGCAAAGCCTTCTTGAAGCTCGTGCCGACGAGAAGGAGGTCGCCTGACCGAGGGTCATCATATCTCCAAGATCCATTGCCACGAAGCTCTGTACGAGAGGGAACAATTAGATTCTTGGGACAGTGCTTAGCGCACGCTTCGATCATCAGGTTGTATTTCTAAACTTGATTTATTTTCTTTTAAATTAATTTTATTTCTGAGTTATAATATTACTCCGCTATTATCTGATTTTCATCTATTGTTCATAACTAATTTTTTCGTGTTAATTACAGTCTAAACACCAACTAATTTCCTAACATCATATACGTAAAATCATTTGCGGAGCCAAGATTTTGTCTTTCTAGCATCCTCATATGACTCATAAGTTCATTGAAGTAGACAATCTTCATGATTATACTCCCTAAGTCCTATTTTAATTTTAGTGGTATTCTAAGTAGTAAATACATGTAAAATTGTATAAAAAGATTTATAAAGTAGACAATCCAATAATGTATGGCACCACTAAACACTATATAACTTCGTCATTGCCTAGCATACAATATTATTAAACTAATCTCAAACCTAGTTATTGTATTTCATCAATTTTGTACATGATAGTTAAAAATGGGCTTTTGTTACGTTAGACTCCGAACCTTTGTTAATTTCACATCAGAGCCTAAAATCTTAATATTCTAAAATCAGTTTAGTTGTTATAAGGCCGCAGATCCATTAAATTGTTTTAGATAAGACCCTAAAATCTATTAATTTGTTTTAATAAGACCTCCATTTTGAACAAATATGAAGATTTGTGGGTCTAATTTGAAAATATGAAGATTTGTAGGTCTAATTCAAACATATTTGAGGGTAAATTAACAAAATTTTCAGGGTCTTATTTAATAAAACCTATTAAAGAATAGAAACTTACTTAAAAATTTATATGGACTAAACAAAAATGTAGCAGATTAGATTTAGCAAAAATGTAAATAAAAATTTATATGGACTTAACAAAAAATGTAGCAGATTAGATTTAGCAAAAAAAAATAAAAATCAGAAACTACATTTAAATATGAGTGAAAAACACTAAATAATTAATGAATAGTTCGTTAATTGTTCAAGTAACTATTCGATTAAATTCGAATTAATAGTTTATTTAACACTAAACAATTAATTTTTAGTATTTGAATTCATTAGTACAACAAAATTAACTATATATATACTCAATTCGTTTGCTTATCAAATATTCGCTTAAAATTTGATCTCCTCTAATATTTATTATACACACATAATGTTACATTTTCAACCCATTTAAGCTCTATACACTAATTTTGAGAGGCTTAAACAATCTTAAATTTGTTTTTTAATGAAATATTCAAATTAAATACATGTATATCGTAATTATAAAGAAATAATTCTCATTTATAAATTTAAAATACTCTTTGAAAATTAAATTCTTTAACGAAAGAAATATACTATGATATTCGATATATATACATATGGTTCATGAATGTTTATCAAATATTGAGTATTCGAGTTTGAATTCAAAAATCTTTGTATATTGATATTGAAAGCCGAGTTTGAATTCAATAATTTTAAATAAATACAAATACGAACACTTTAGTTTTCGATTCAGTTCGTTTCGGTCATTTACCACTCCTAATTAAAAATAACTCAATATGACATCTTGGGTTTAGAAATAATGTCACAAGTTGGTGGGTTTACAAATAAATCAGAGTAAAACTCCGGCTTATAGATAAAATCCAAAACACCCTCTTGTTTATTAATTTATTTATTTTACGTTTCCTAATTTCTAGTGATATATCACATACCGAGGTTGCCCTCCTCTTAGGTACTGTTTGGCAACCAAAAAAAGTGTCTTATCTAAGAGCTTGTGTCTTATTGACTTGGTCAATAAGTTAGTAGAGCTGTTTGGTGACCAAAAATAGGAGAGGATTATTTTGGAGATTGTGTCTTTTGTAAGTAGCTTTTGGAAAGCTATCTCAAGTAGCATTTGTCTTTGGGGAAGGAGCTGCCAATTTTTTTTTCCGTTTTTGCCCCTAATAATTCTAATTTTATATCAATAATATTGCATGTCCTTTTTAGTTATTTAACAAATTTAAGCTAGTTGTACAGCTATTTTTGCCAAACAGCTCTAGTCAATCAGCTAGCTACACAGCTATCAGCTTTCAGCTACAATTTCACAGCTTTCAGCTATAATCTCGCAGCTTTCAGCTAGTTTTGCCAAACAGAGCCTTAAACTCTCTCTTTCATGGATCCTTTTCATACTTGCCATCATCCAATAGATACGAGGTCAACCAGCATTATAAAAAAAAACCCACGAACTTGATCAACAGAGGAGCATTCATCATCCCTATCTGTTTCTCCTCAACTTGCACATCAGGTGTTTGTTGAGATTCCCCTTTGAGATGCCCATTGCTTCTTTTATCGGCAACAATGGCCAACGACTCTCCTGTATCTGTTGTGATCCTGGCGGAGCTGAATAATAAGTCCAATAAAAGTAGAAGAGATGAGGTTGCTATAGAAGTTGGCGAAGGAAAATTGTGCAGGATTTGTCATCTCAGTAGAGAGAAGGGTTCAGACGAGGCGGTTCTTATCGGATGCGGGTGCAAGGGTGAGCTGGGGTACGTGCACCCGGATTGCGGCGAGGCTTGGTTTAGAGTCAGGGGAAACAGGTATTCTTTCTATGCGTTCGCTTTTTAGGCAATGAAATTCACATGAACATAGAGCAGATCATGAAACACAAGAAGTACATGTGATCATCACGCTGCAAATGAAATGCTATTTGAGAGGTATTGATAATTTGATGAAGTTTTTAGTGGTTGATCAATTATTAAAACTCTACGTACGTCAATGACTTTTGACGTATAGATGACATTTTTATTTTGGCTTCTCCATGTTTCTGTATTTTGTGATGTTTGAAGAGTTTTTATGTGTGCATGCATATGGTAGAAGAGATCTAGTGATTAAATTCCAAAAGAGAACTAGGAATCATAGTAGGATTAGTTCTGGACCTGTATCCTCTCCCATTCGATGGTAATTGGAGAGGGCGCAATTAGGGTAATCCTTACGCTCCCTTTCAATTTAATGATTGCGATCATGCCACGTGGAATTTCACTTTTACAATAGTAGTTTTCACGGTGGTGGTTTTAAAGAGCTTTAGTGGTTCTCAAGACAGTATTGGAAAATCATATGTGACAAGGCATGATCTCATCCCTTGAAATCGTAGTAAAAGGTAAGATGTTGGGGTTATTGGACCCTCTTCGATTACTACCTAATTGGAGAGGATCCGAGTACGTTTTATCTTGATTAGATACTGGTACAAATTTGTGGAGAGGCCCTTATCCGTTTCTAATCTGTTGATGGAGCCTTAAAAGGCACCTGTCAATTCTTTGTGGAATTAAAGTCAACACCTACAATATGTCAATTTGGAAGATGAAGCATCAAGATACCAGCTAATATTTCTTAAATTATCCTTTCTGAAACTTTTATCTTAGATTTTGGTGAGTCATCCAAAACTTGCAAATTCTTTTAACTATTCAGGTGTGTTAAGGGTAATTGCAATGAGAAATGAGAATCCAAATAAAATCAGATGGCACATAGAATTGTAGTATTGCAGTTTGCTTCCTCAAAGTTGTTTTCTGACCTGATTCCAAGAGGTTTGTTTTTATATTGGCAATTGATAGAATCTTTTGCTTGATACTTCAATGGAGGTTGCGGAGCTTGGTAACACTTAATCTCAATAATTGAGTCAATTATAGACTGACTTTTGGATAATTGATTTCTTACATCCTCTTAAAATGATGAGGTAGGTGAACAGGTGAACAATGGAGCCCAATGCGTACAAGAACCCCACCTGAAAAGTCTACTTTGTTGTCTCCTTTGGGATCAATGATAATCATGCACTATTGATATCGTATTGGGTTGTTGGATTTCATATATTTTCTTTGACCAAATATAGTGAATTTCCTAACAACTTGTACTTGAAACTATATATTCCGCAATCAAAACAATTTTCACCAAATAACCAAAACACTTTTATCTACCAATAACGAAATCTTTCACTGCAAATGACATGCTTCGGGTGCATTAGATTGATGAAATAAGTTACCCTTATATGTGTTGTTTCTATATACTCATCTGCTTTTGTATTCTTTCTATTTGTTTTCTGTGCGTCTCTTGGGCATTTTTAGGAGAAATTGTTTATTGGGACTAATATTATTACATGTGTTAATGCACATGCAACCGACATTAAAACTTAATTATTCGAACTTTTATATAAAAAGTGTCACTTTAATATCTTAAAGCAGAGAATATAATATAAAGAGCCTCTAGGTTTTACTCTTCTTTTCTAAGAAGCTCCTAACTTTCTATTTTTGACAAAGAAGCCTATAGGTTTTACTAATCTTTCTAAAAATCCCCTAACTCTCTATTTTCGACAAACATTCCCTTGATTCTTATTCTTACCCTACTCTTCTAAGAAGCCCCTAGCTTTCTTTTCTTAACAAGGAAATCTCTAACTTAACAAGAAGATTTGAGGGCTCCGTAGAAGAGAAAGTTAAAACTTAAGAAAGGTTCTAGAATTAAAGAAAGTCTCTTCCCTCTCATTTTATTAAAATTCTAATTGTTGTTTTTATTATATTTATTTACATGGAAATAACTTTATCATTTTGTATTTATATTTTCTTATAAAAATACAATGTAATAGATATTTAATTAATATGCTCTATGATATGCTTTAGAAAGTTCTAGAATTAAAGAAGGAGAAAAGAAATAATTTGTATGTAATGATCAAATTGTCCCCAAACCTTTAATAAGATGAAGGACACTTTCCCACGTCTTTCAAACTTTTCCCACCCTCAAAACTTTTTTGACTCTTTACCCTGAGAGAAAGATGAAATTGTCGTATTTTTTTTAAACAAATTTACTTCCTGAGGATGAAAGAGTTGAGGGGAAAAAATCACTAAGGGGGTCTATCCACAATGATAGAGCTATAGGGGGTCTATTCGAAATTTGGTAATAGTGCATAGGGTCTGTCCGCAGCAAGTACCCCTGCTTTATTTGCTTAACAAGTACCTAAATTTCCTGCGTACAGACACAACTATGAAAACCTTAACGGCTTAAGTCATGCGAAGAAACTTACCATTTCAACATCTTGGTTTTTATACAGGTACTGTGAAATCTGTGGCATGTTCGCTGAGAATATCAATGGCGACGACAATAGAAACTTCATGGAGGTATGGAATGAAGGAAGGACGGTAGAAAGCGTCGACGGCGTTACTGGAGATTTATCTGAGAGGGGAATTAGTCGTTGGAGGAGACGACCACTCTGTAATATCTTGATGGGATGCTTAGTTCTAGTCTCCGTTCTCCTCTGGTTCTTCCGTGTGAAATTGTTCTGATGAGTAGAATTCGAAGCTCCGTGGTTCTCAGAATTGGGGTGTTTGAGGGATAAATGAGATATCGTATAGAGTGGGGGCTTACGGATGAACTCGTACTGAACTATAGCTTATTTGTACAGCTGTATTATTCATTATTTGTTGGCATGTTTACAACACAATACCGTAAGTTTTATTCTTATTTGAGAAGTATTCTTGCACAGTTCACTTCTCTTCGGCGTTTTGAGAGAAAGACTGCACTGATTCAACTTGACTATGTGTCATGGCTACTGTTGCACATGCGAGCATGGAATTTCACCCCCACCCCCCCCCCCCAACCCCCCCCCCCCCCCCCCTAAAAAAAAAAGCAAACCCCCAAAAAGAAACACCCATTTTCTCTAAATAATTCATTCAGAACAGGCTGCATGAAAGGGGGATCGTTCTCTAAGAATTTTCACTAACTCCTTGAACGTTATTCGAAACAGACCACACAGCGCGCATACTCTTGGTCAGGACTTGTTACTTCCATGCTCAGAATAGCGCGTGTGTTGACGGCACACACGAGGCACACCTCCTGTTACACTCCCCACCACGCGTGTACAGTGCAGGGGGACCCCACAGGAGATTTTAAAAAATCTCCTGTGAGGCCCATTGCCCTGTAGGGCAGGTGGAGGGAAGTGTGATCAGGAGGTGTGTGCTCGTGGCTGTGCCTCTATCATTTCTTTTGCTAGAAATGGGTTACACTTTCTACACGTTGATTTTGAAAGATGCTGAAGGAAAAGGAGATTTTGGAATATATTAGCTTCTATGGAATGATGGAACTGATAAATCTATGTTTCTATTCGCATATTTCTCATATTTGATACACGTGTTCTACTGTTTTAAAAGAGGCTAAAAGGTTTCTAGCATGCGGTCACAATTTTCAAAAGTCAAAAACGTCCTTGCAACGTATTGAGAGAAATTCGAAAATTTTCAATAGAAAAACACTTCCACTACCTCAGCAACCCTGCACGTTTTTGCGTCATGTACGCATAGCGTACATCTAAAGACTAATTTTCTATTATATTTTTAAAATAAAATAAATAAATAAATAAGAAGAAACGGCTGATACGTAGACATGACAAATTCATTACTTCAACTAAATCAACGCAGATCTCTGTTAAATCTGCTTGTTAATTCTTTTGGGACAAATTTCCTTGGTAAAAAAAAAGGACTCCTGCATCACTACATGAATTACGCAAGTTAATCTGAGTACACTACTATGAATTTTAGTAACTTTTTCAAAATAGATGAATGAGAAAAGCACCTTTTAGTCATCAAACCCCTAAAGAACAAAATATTATTCATGAAGATATAAGATCAAAAGGTTCCTTTTACCCATTAAATATTACCAAATAAGATAAACATTGTGAACATTATAATCGTTTTCCATACCTTCTTGATATAGAGCAAGGATTTGTATAACTAGACAACAGCAACGGAAGACCTTGAAAAAAAGCTCAAACTTGGCCCAGAAAGTAAATAAATAAAAAAATAAAAGAAGAAGAAAAAAGAAATAAAAAAGTTAACACACCCTATTAGAAAAGAGAAATCAATAGAACAGAAAGATAATTAAAAAAAATAAGCCTACTATGATCGTAAACCAAACAAAAGACATTCAGTGTCCAAAATTTCCAAGGAAACAAAGGAAACCACAACAAGTTTCCATAGATTCAAGTACAGAAGTATAACTCATCTCACCAATTAAAATCTAAGATTAAGTTATGGAGGGGAATATAATTTAACCGGTGATATTCTGCGACTTATTGAGGATGACACCTTCATACTTAACTTGAAACCATTTCATGGCATCGTCCTTGGTGACCCTGTGCTGAATTCCTACGCGGGATTTGCACCTGCGACGACGACCAACACGATATCCAGGGCGCTCGAGGACCACGTAGAAGTCCATACCATAGATACCAGTAGAGGGATCGTACCTGAGAGACCAAAATAAATTCAGCAAATAAAAGAAATTTCTCAAACATATACATTTCAGTAGTAAAGACCTATGATGCACGGATACGGATACGGGATACGGGATACGGATACGACACGGACACGGATACGGGATACGGCAAAATCCAAAAAAATAGGATACGGGGATACGGCAAGGAATTTTTTTAAAATTATTATTATATATAGAAAATTTTATAAAATTCAACTAACAATCTAAAATAATACCAAATTTTAATTTTCATTATTTTCATCTTGAACATATAAAAATACAAGCCTATCTTGCAAAACGAGAGTTAAAAATTACAAGTATACATTCACAAGTTAGAACTATACCCAAAATATTACAAATATTCCTTAAAATATTACAAGTATATTGTTGAAATAGAAGGTAAATATTACAAGTATACAAAATATTATAAGCCTAGCCCAAATTTTTATTTACAAGTGCTATCCATATAAATAGGTAAGAATGGGCGCTAGGGCTAGGGTTTTCATCTATCAGATCCTCCAGATCCGACTCCTCTCTCTTCTCCAGATCCGACTCCTCCCTCTCTCTTCCAGATCCGATTCCTCCAGGTCCGACTCCTCCCTCTCTCCTCCAGATCCGACTCCTCCCTCGAATCTCGTCGCCAACTCCTCTGACTCCGCCCTCTCTCCTCCAGATCCGACTCCCTCCTCGAAGCTCCAGATCTGACTCCTCCCTCGAAGCTCCAGATCCGACTCCCCCCTCGAAGCTCGTCACCGACTCTCCCCCTCGAAGCTCGTCGCCGACTCCTCCCTCGAAGCTTGTCATCCCTTGAAGCTCGTTGTCCCTCGAAGATCGTCGTTTAATCCTCCCTCGAAGAGATGGAGATCGAGAGAGAGATGAGGACGACGAGAGACGACGAGAGAGACGAGAGAACTGACCTCCGGCGCGGCGAGCTTGACGAGATCTGACCTCCGGCTGGCGACACGAGAAGACGACGAAAACAGAAGAAGAGGTCTGCGCGAGAGATGAGGAGAGGATCAGCGGCGTCGGGAGTGGGTAAGTCCAGATTTTAGGGTTTTTTTGGGTTTGGGTTTCGGGTTCCCTCCCCCCCCTTTTTCTTTTCATTTGCCGAATCCGTGTCGTATCTCCATTCTCCTTTGACCGTGTCCCCCCCGTTTGACCGTTGACCTGTGTCGGACACGGATTGACCGTGTCCGACACGTGTCTTGCACGTGTCGTGCACGAATCCGTGTCCGATTCGTGTCGGACACGGATTCGTGGCCTTGGGGGGAGTATCCGTGCTTCATAGGTAAAGACAACCATCGAAGCCATGTATAATATCAGACAAGCAATTGTGATGTTTGTGGCGCAAATGAAGATATAGATGATAAGAATGTCCGGTAGGATGTTTTAGACAAAAAAAATTCAGCAAATAAATGGAATTTCTCAAACATTTACATTTCAGTAGTAAAGACTACCATTGAAGCCATGTATAAACATAATATCAGACAAGCAATTGTGATGTTTGTGGCGCAAATGAAGATATAGATGATAAGAATGTCCGGTAGGATGTTTTAGAAGGATTGTGGATATTATATATTGTAATAACAATGCAAAGTCATTTGCATAAGCCCTGTTCTGGCTCTCCTGCAATCTTATTGTTCTTCTGACATTTCAGAGTGTTGTATTGAGAGCATTTTAAATTTTCACACAATGAAAGCTGACAACCCTCAAGTAAATGACCAAACTTCATTTGGCCTTTAATTTTGTCAAAAGTATGTGATTTCAATCATACATATAATGAAATCTAAAACAAAAAATGCCCCCATTGGATCTTTCAAGTTAAGGGGGCATTCGGGTGAGCTTTTTTCCATATGTACATGTTTGGTAACAACAACTTAATTAAGCTAGCTTTAAGTCACAATTTTAAAAGCATACCCCAGTTTTGACCAGATTATAAGCTCATTAAATAAGCTAAAATTGACCAAATATATTACTATTCTACTCATGCAACCTTTATTAAATTTTGATCATAAAAGCCAAAAGCCACCAAAAGCAAACATGGCTTAAGAGCTTATGAAAATAAGCCTCCCCAAACACCTTCTTAGAGGCGCTGTTAGAGGAAACAAATGCAAAGCCTACTTCATTGTATTAGGGAATCTGGCAGCTACAGCAGTACAGCACCATACAATACACGGTAATTAAACATTATCGATTTTTACTATTAACCAGTTTGCAAAAAACATGAGAAAAATATTATGATGCTCTGAATAAGACAAATTTCAAATTCCAAGATACGGATGTTGGAAAGAAGCTAGGTGATAGTGAAAGAAATAAGAGCCCATTGCTTGCAAAGTTGCTTTGGCGTGGACATTGATTTCTCAATGGTCGATTTTATGACTTAACAAACACTTATAATCTGATTCTATCTTTCGTTCATCCACACTGAAACTTCTACCAAATTGAGAAAAGGATTACAATTGCAGAGAAAGACAATGGCATAAGTTGTCAAATACAAAGGAGATAACAGATATCTACCACAAGAGTCCCCAGTTTTCAGTATTCCACTAACTCCATTGTTTGTGATTAATGCAAATACAGTTGTGCTTGTAGGAACCCTCTTGAATAATCATAAAACAAATCGCGACTTTAACAAAACTAGAACATTGTGATCTTAATTAAAAGTGCAAAGTTTGGAAACAATTAAACAAGAAAACCATCATGAGAATTACCATCAGGGGAACCAAGTTTCACCAGTTACAGGTTTCAATTTCCTAACTCAAGAAAAGCATACTGGTGGTGCAATGCAGCTGCAGGATTTTCTTACATTTTCTTCTGAACTTCTAATACTATGGAAAGTCAAGAACTTGATCAGATATCGACTAAGGGAAGGAAACTCAGAGTGGATGGTCATCATTCTGTCATGCCCAGATTTCAATGATATATAATATATTTCTCTGCTAAACATCAAGTCAGAAACTGTCATTTGCAAATGTATTTACTTCCCACTGCTCTAGCTGCTGCTTATGTAGTTTCAGATGGAAAAAACTGAAAAAGAATTACAATTATTACAAATTAAGGCCCAGAAAACCGAGAAAAAATGTTAATAGCCAGGAGACAAAATTAGATAACTACAATACATTCATTGAAAATCTATGCATTACCTTCCAATTGGAGAAAATTGTTGTTTTACATGTCACTATTTACATGCCATTATTTAGTTTCTAACCAAACCTTTCGCAGTGCACACATGCTTAAGGATTTTCTTAGTTTCAGGTCAATGTTAACAAATGCCAATAAGCTATCTTCCATTAAAGTATATGATAATAAATCCAGTGAACTGCATATATCAGTAGTAACTCCAAATGTAAACAAAGACAAACACAAGTAACTACATACCTTTGGTGGTTCAGAAACATGTGGCTCTCATCATAATCTACTATAGTGAGCACAATGCCATATAAGCAAAAGTAATAAACTAAATCAAGCTTACATTGGCAAAAAAATTAGGAGTGAATTAAAACTTACTTGATCCCAAGATCGATATGCTCCTGGATTCCAAAGCCAAAACACCCAGTCTCACTAAAGTTCCTCCTCAACAACTCGTACTCCTTCACCTTCAACCCACTTTCCAACAGCTGCATTGCCTTGTCACCTCTAACCGTAACATAGCAAGCAATCTTCTCATTACGCCTAATACCAAAAGACCGAACAGTGTACCTTGCTGTTGAGCAACATTCAACAAAGTAAAATGATCAATAATCCAAAAAAAAGCCGAGTTCACAAATCTCCATGAACTTTGGGGTGATATCAACGTCTTAAAAAGTTAAAAGAAAACCCCCAAACAAACCTTTTGTGAAGTTTCACAAAAGCCCTGAACTTTCGAAAAGTTACAACTACCGGAATAACATCTATTAAGAAAATAAACTTCCTCTAGTAGTAAAACCACAAGACGAAGCTACATCCCTGCCTCTATTCTCTCTTTCCAGACAGACCCTAGAACGGATTTTGCCCCAAAGTTCAGGGTCCTTTTTGAAAGTTCTTCCAAAGGTCAGGAAACTCTCAAAGTTTGAGAGTGTTCTTCAATGTTAAGATGATGACTGTTTTGTGCAAATAACCTCAATGTATAGGGTGCTTCTTCTGACATTTGCCATAATAATAATAACTATAATGTAAAAAGGAAAAAAATGATTACCCTTTGAGAACACAGGTGATTGTCCACTCAGCTGCTCCAACACCTACAAATTTGTACAAAAGATGAGACTTTTATCATAAAAAATTAATCAAAGATTGAAAAAAACAATAGAAACCTTGGCGGCTCTGGTGAGACGATCACCGCTCTCTCCAACTGAAATGTTGAGGACAAGTTTCTGGACCTTGATCTCCCTCATGGGGTTCGAGAGCTTCTTATCTGAAGCCTGTAATTAACCACAAAAAAAAGGAAATATAAATAAAGAAATGAAATTTTCAAATGAATTAAGAAGTTAAGAGAGTTTTTGAGAAAAAAGAGAGATTGACCATCGGGGTTTTTGGGGGCGAATGCGATCGGGGAGACGGCGGGCGAAACCCTAAAAAGGGGGCGGCGGGTTTGACAGGGTTTTATTTCATGAGGAAAATTACATCGAGGCCCAGCACTTATGACAAATTAATTTCCAGGTGCAAAAAGTGTGTATTTTGGGGGTGTAAAAGGAATGTATTTCCGTTGCCGGGACTTGAACCCGGGTCTCTCGGGTGAGAGCCGAGTATCCTAACCAACTAGACTACAACGGAGGGGTTGCACGTATTTTTCTTTGAATCAATATATCTAGAAAGTATTTCCATCTATTTATCTTATATAAAAATACAACGTAATGAGTTTTGTTATGTGCTATGTTTGGGTTGCCGGGACTTGAACCCGGGTCTCTCGGGTGAGAGCCGAGTATCCTAACCAACTAGACTACAACGGAGGGGTTGCACGTATTTTTCTTTGAATCAATATATCTAGAAAGTATTTCCATCTATTTATCTTATATAAAAATACAACGTAATGAGTTTTGTTATGTGCTATGTTTGGGTTTTGAATTATTGTTAGAGATCTAAATGGGGTTTTTACTTTCTAATGAGATAATTCAAATTTTTCTACTAGTTGCTTTAGTGTTCTTAAAGGGGGTTTAGGGTTGCAATTTTTAAAATTTCAACGGCACAAATGTAAACATCACCAGGGTTCACCTGCTAATAATCAATAAAACTTATAGGGATGCAACTGCAACCCTATGATACATGTGGTGTTTTCATCATAACCTTTGTATGTATGTGTCTTGCTTCCAAACAATCTTTCGGAAATTAGGCCAAAAAATAATGTGTGGCTTAAAATCCGTCTGAGATCTAAACATGATATACGAGTAAGCCGGACCATGCAATATCGTTTATATACAGGGGCGGATCTATATACAGTCCAACCCCCCCCCCCCCTCAAACGTTTTGGATCCCGCCCTTGGTCCCCTGCCTCCAACTTTGCTCTTTTCTACATCATTTTGAGAAGTTTTTGTTTTCGTCGAAAGTCGTTTTCATTGTCGATTCCATTAAAACTTAAATCGTTTACAGTGAATTACAATGAAAAATAAACAAATTACAACTTTCTTGAAAAATAACACAGAAATCGTTTATCGATTTCTGTTTTGTGGGACTTTGCCTGTGTCGAGAGTGCTTTGGCTCGTGGACCACCAAATCATAGATTGTGAAGGGATTTGGGGATTCTTTCTTCGTTTATCGAAGTAAGAATTTAAAGCGAATATCTTATCGATGTAAGATGTTCACTCTTCTAAAGATCAAGTCAGAGCTTGGATCTCTAGGAATCACTAGAACCAGTTCTAAGGAATGAAGACTCTCTCCAATTCAACAAAAAGCTTAAGCTTCTTTGCTCCAATCTGCTCTCTGTCCTTTGCTTCGTGTCTAGGGAGGTATTTATAGGGATAGAGGTGCACAACAGTGGAAATGGAGGCAGAATAACTGATCGAATATAGGCTCTTTGGGCGCGTCAGTCTATGCTACCGCGGCTATTGGCGCGTCAGTGTGGACTGGCGTGGCCAAAGAGGCAGTTCCAGCCACGTTCCATCATGTTTGAAACCGTCCTCCTACGACTTTTAACCACTTTTTTTATGGTTTAACTGCTTGTACACGACAGCACATATTCTCTTTCTGATATGTCGTCACGTGGACCTCCAAGAGATGTTAAAAATTGTCAACAATTCACATAAAAGGCTACTATACTATTTGCGCGTCACACTTTGCTGCCGCTGTAGGAGTAAATTTTGATCTCCCGAAAACAGGGAACTTCGTTTGTATTGATAAGAATAGCTTATTACAAACTAATTAATCGAAATTACAACAGAAGCAGAGGGAATGCCCTAGCTTATTACAAACTAATTAATCGAAATTACAACAGAAGCAGAGGGAATGCCCTCCTTGTTTAAATGTGAGGACTTTCGGTAGCTACAGGATGCTTCGCTCGATTCTCGCACCGAGTCTGCTTCCCTTGGACGGTTCGACCGAGGTTGCTGACGAGCTTCAGTACACGGTAGAGGCTCGGGTTGATGGAGTTCGAATCTTCTAGTTCGACGGCGATCAGGGCTCGGAACTAGAAGAGGACGCTGCAGTGCAAAGGTTATGCAAAGAGCTTGTCGTCGACCCGATCGGGGGTCGAGAGCTAGTGGTTCGGTTAACTGATTAAATTAATCAATTAACTATGGGCGAGCTTCTGAACGTTGGACCGTTCTATGCTGAATGCTCCACCCCTTCGAACCTTTCGAACCTCTTCATTGTCGCTGGAAGAGGCTCTTAAATAGAGGAGAGACGGCTTGGTCGCCCCTTGAATCATGGGATGTGACCATGTACTGTTGTGAGGTATCTTGCTGCTCATCTGTACTATGAGTGGTCATTCGAGGGGTTGTGTTTCACATTACGTCACGTAGGAGTGAAAAGGCCCCCTCCTCGTATGTGAGACAGCGGCTGCCCAACACTCGAGTGCGTTTGGCCAGCTCACCGAATGCCGGCGAATCCAGACCTTGACTAGGACAGGCGAGGTGAACTGCATTTATGAGGGTGCAGGTTGATCTGGCGTCTGTCCGCTCACTCGTACTGTGAACGGCTACTCGACGGGCTTGGAGTACTGTGCTCTCTCCCTTCACATCACGAGAAGTGGGAAAATGTGTGCCCAATACTCGAGTGGGTTTGGACAGCTCGCCGAATGCCGGCGGATCTAGCTCTCGACTCGGACGGGCTCGTCAAAATCATCAGTCGAGAAATCTGACACAAGAGAATATAAGTACGAAAGGAGAATAAAGAGACTTCGACCAATAGAAATCAGTTACCTCTTATAGGTGCGTCAGCCTCTCTATTCCCAAGATCCACGTTTGCCTCCTGCAAATTATCTAAAAGAGCAAGAAGCACAGAGACAATTAGGGAATGCACAAATTCCAAATCATTCAACTCCTTTGTGTATTGTTAATGGTAGATGTACCTGGATTCATCGAACCGGGTCCTACATTGACGGTCTCCCTAATGTCACCAGCTTCTGCAGGCCTTTCTACCTGGTGCGGTGAGTCGGGCTCACCAGAAGATGTAAAATCATGAAAAACAGGATCAGGACTCATCTCTCTCTCTCCCCATGCTCTCCTATATAGAGATAGAAAGGCATGAGTCAAAGTTCTGAATGACAAGAGGTTGGTCTATAGGGTAGATGTTACCTCCATCACTGGCAGGATCATCACTGGACAAATCCATATCAGATGCTCGCGAAACTGCACGCGGCTTGCGGGCTAATCTCTTCCGCCTAGCGGCAGGAGCAACAATCGAANGGACGGGCAAGGTGATATGCATTCATGAGTGTGCAGGCTGATTTGGCACCTGTCCGATCATTCGTACTGTGAACGGCCACTCGACGGGCTTGGAGTACTGTGCTCCCTCCCTTCACATCACGGGAAGTGGGGAAAAACCATCCTTGTATGCAGTGGAAAGGCCGTCAGGTATGAATTTGGCTCTCGACTCGTGCAGGCGAGGCGAGTAAGCGGGCGGATTTGGATGATCTTGACTCATGCAGGCGAGTCGATCATACAGGCGAATCTGGATAACCTTGGCTCATGAGGGCGAGCCTACCATACCGGCGAATCTAAGTGACTTCGGCTCATGCGGGCGAATATGGGGCTTGTGCGCCAGCGAGCCCAACCCGTGGTTGCGGTTCGCCCTTCACCCAAGTGGGCGGTTCTGATTCGCGGGTGGATTCATGTACAAATTTGCGGCGGTAATTTTTACCGTCTACAATAATACGTTAGCGTCACATATGAGGCCTTGGGCGCGTCACCATAGGCTGCCGCGCCTTTGGCGCGTCACCATAGGCTGTCGCGCCTTATGCGCGTCACCATGGGCTGCCGCTCCTATACGTGTCGCCTGTCAGTGTATTTTATCACATGCATGCACATTGTTCTCTTCTCAGTCTTGAGTTGTACTTGGATATCTATGAGCAATTTTTGACGCCTACAGATACCCCCTCCAAAGTATCTCAGACTCGTTTTTTTTTTATAGAAGAGTCTGGGACACTTTGGATAAGATAGGTTTTACTTACAATCCCTTTAGTATTTAGTTGAGGAGGTCGCGTAGAATGGTTTGTGAATTGCTTCAATTCCTGACTTCTTCATCTTTTAGTCTATTCAGTGCTTTGTAGAATAGCTAAAATTCTTCCGGTTCTGCGTTTATCACTTGACCGTTGTCGAAGTCTTAAACTAAAGCTGACGAAGGAATAGTTTATACTCATATACCTTATTGGAGTATTCGGAAAATAGTTTAACCTCATATACCTGTTGGAAGGTTCAAGGAGATGCAGTTTATACTCATATACTCATCGGAGTTTTTGGATATACATTACAAATACAATGAGGAATGTATATATTCAAATACCTATGGGATCACTGTTGGCGCGCCATACTTTTGCGCGTCAGCGTCGACTGACGTGTTAATGCGCGTCAGTGTCGACTGACGTGCTAATGCGCGTCAGTGTCGACTGACGCGCTAATGCGCGTCAGCATAGACTGACGCGCTAAAGCGCGTCAGCGTCGACAGACGCGCACAGAGGCGGTCAGTTGGGGTTTTAAAATTGAGGGTTGGGGCTTTTCGGGTCATTCTTCCCCGTCGTTCTGAATTCGAAACATCCTCAAATACCCTCTATAAAAGATATTTTGGCTCTTCTCCTCTCCACCTCTTCATATTTCGGTGATTCTTGTTCGAAGAAGATCTAGGGTTTCAGGTTCTTTACCCAGATCTGAGATTTGCTTCGGTCTTTTCATCCTTCGAGCCTAATTCTTCTCGTCCCCTGGTAAAACCGATCCTATAGGTCATACTTTGGGATTTTATTTTGATCTTTGCTTGGGATTTCATCTAAAACCCTAATTTCCTGGATTTTATTTTGATCTTTGCTTGGGATTTCATCTAAAACCCTAATTTCCTGATTCTTTAGGTTGATTTCATCATGTCCCCTAAGAAGGCTCGTGTTCCTCATCTAAAACCCTAATTTCCTGATTCTTTAGGTTGATTTCATCATGTCCCCTAAGAAGGCTCGTGTTCCTAAAGGTAAATCAGCCGCCCAAGCATCTGAAG